CTATCTATCTATCTATCTATCTATCTATCTATCTATCTATCTATTTATCTATCCATCACAAAAACGTTCAACAACAACAACACAGCAACACAAAAATTAATCTACACAGCAAAAAACAAAAGACAATCTACGTGACACAGTAAGAGACAAAGCATTCGTGGAAGAACTTCGCGCATCGTCGATGTCCCACTCAAACTATGTATCTGACAATATAGGTCAACCGTATTTTTAAAAAAAATCTAATTTCTTTCTTATTATCTTCCAGAACTACTAAAACGTTTTGTGGGAGACTTCATTTTTACTTAGTATAGTATTAGCAATTGTAGTCTCAGTTTTGAAAAGGATAGCTTCAAACAAAAGAAGTAGTTCTAGTTGACCTAATTTGGTGGATACGCGATTAGAGTGGGACTCCGATGATGTTATACTCACGTCTCCGAATCGGTTACGGATTCTGTAGAGTTTTTCTTTCTTCCTCTTCACCGCCAGTCAGTCATTTCATATCTTATTTATTGGGGTCGTGTTCATTAACATAAGCGTGTTGCCTGATAACGTTTTACGCGTTAGATATGTAATAATAATAAATAGAATTTGTACAGCGCATGTCCCTTTCGAAAGCAAACTCTATGCGCTTTACACTATATCATTACCCCAGGAGACAATAGAATTCTCAGAAACATTCTCAGCTTCCCGAGAAGAATACAGTGCAAGCAGCTGGTTAAACGCTCGAACACTAACAAACTGACAAGATCTTTCGCTGTCTGTACACGTATTTCTGTTGTGTGTGCTCACAGTGCTACACGCAAGTGATGGTTACAATTCATTACTTCCTATTTTTACATTTTCCTTATTCGGGTATCCTTAGTATGTCGAAGGGGGGTTCAGGTTTCGGTAATGCACTATATTTTATTATCGTTGATAAATAATATTACACAGCGTTGCTCAAGTGGTCGATACTCTAGCATTATAGATTTATGATATATTCACCATATTGTTCTACTGTGAACTGCCTTAAGAATAGGAATTGAGGGTATTTTACGCTGCCATCTATTTCATCTTTAACATGTTATGCTAATGTGCTGGTACGGCTTGTTCAATACATTTGTCCCTTCACCCAAGTAATTAAATACATGGCAAATTTCCAGTCGTTCACCAACCCTCCTAAATGACCTAAATAATTGCTTCGGTTGACAAAACGCCTTTTTTCGTTCACAGTAGCTTCGAGAATAAAGCGTTGCATCAGCGTAAACACTAAAGAAAAGGCGTTCTTCCGAAATTTGGATTCTAATTGTATTTTTTAAAATAGTCACTTTTGAGTTTTTCACACAAGTAGGGTAACTGACCAGACTATCGATTTAGAAAAAAAATTGTCTTAAAAAATGGGAAAAAGGCGGCGTTTTGTCAGCCCACGGCAGTATAATGACAAACGAATGTCGTCACCATGTGGAACGGTTCGGTTGACTGACGGAAGTTCGACCAATGAAATCGCTGACAACTTTTAAATCTCTATATTATATTATGTCATATTTGTATAATATAATTGACACGCAATACATTATAAACGATGACGTAAACGGAAAAAAAATATCAGTAGCAAACAACGGAAATGGTACAGAAAACGTCACATAGCAATCAAATTATTGCCTGCTATGTCACACTACTTCTACAACGTAGGATGGCCAAAAAAGATTGTATTGGAAACCAAATACATTACTGTGAAATATGGTTTAGATAACATGCTGGATTGCTCGTACAAACATCCAATCCTCAGTTAAAACGAACTCAAATCCTTCCGTATTTTGTTGAACGAAACAGGAAAACCGAGGCGTGTCTACAAACTACACGACAAGAACCAAAGGGAAGCCGGAGTGTGGCAAAACGGGTGACTACACACTGATTTGTGGGAGGAACCACATGGGTGGCCAGATGGACAGAAGGTGCGAGGGGACAAAAATTACTTTTTTTGAAAGTTCAGTTTTAGTAAGAGTTTTACAGCACTTGCAACACAATAAGGTCATAATATAAGTGTCGAAAAGAATTCCATTTTTGTACTTCATAATGTGAGTTTTTTGTTTGACATCTTGACATTCTCAGATATCTTGGCTCAGTTGAGGAAGATTCAAAATGCAGGGAAAAGGGAAGACGGGAATTCAAGACTATAAGCGTACTGCTGTGGCGGCGAAAAATGCCCATGATTTATCCAGAGAAGTCACAAAATGTTATTGTTTTAATTCATTTAAGAGAAGCTGGGTTGTATTAAAAATTTGTTTCCTTAGTTTTTTAAGAGCGAAGTTTAAACAAATTAAAATCTCATTTTTTATGTTTGCTCTAAGCTGTCTGATTTGAAAAGCAATTCCTTTTAGGGAAAGAGGTTAAAACATGGATCGCGTCTTCTGTCCTTTCTCCCACTTCTGTGGTCTAGGATCAAGCAAACAATGCACGACATTCGCCGAAGTAAGGCAGGCGACTGACTGACGGGGGGCGGACGACAGCGGCACAATATTCAATTTCATGACATAACTAACCGTCTCCTCCGATGCCTTGACCATTAGGAATAGAGCCGTAATTTCCGTAAGAAGACTGACCCGTTTGCTGGGGGTGGAGCGTCTGTTCATCACCGGTGAGGGGGGCGGGGCTTGACGTGTCAGCTGTCTTACTCTCCGCCTCCAAGAGCTTCACGTTGAACACATCCTCGTTGTGTCCGTGCTCCTGTAGGGGGAAGGAAGGGAGGGAGTGAGGGGAGGAAGGGAGGGAGTGGGTGGAGGTAGTGAAGGTTAATAGGCGGTGCCCATTGGCTTCATCGATCTGGTTCGGTTCGGCTTTGTCGGTTTTGTCAGTTTTAGAAAAACAAAGAATCAAATGGTTTGGCCACCTGTTACGTATGTCACCTGGCCAACCAGCAGCAAGAGCCTACAACGCCAAGCACTCAGGCTATAAAGGAAGAGGAAGGCCACGCAAAAGGTGGATCGAGTGTGTCAAGGAAACCCAGAGAAAACATAAAATCACAACTGAAAGAGCTGCGGAGTTGGCCTACCATAGAAAATTGCATCTCCCCTCGACGCTTATTAAAAAAAAAAAAACAGAGGATGAAAAAGTAAAATAAGTAAGTGAGTCGTTTTTATGGCAAACCGGATTGTCCTCCACCGGAAAGACAAAACCGAAACAAACACAGACAAAATCGATGGTGACTTTTAATAACAAACGCGTTTATTTTCAAGGCCGTCCGTCAGGGGATAGGTTTGGGCAGTTGGTCTATTTATAGTGTACACTGAAGCCAGCATAAACCGAACCAACAGAACCGAAAGGAACAGATCCGAAAGGAACAGATCCGATCCTCCAATGGGCATCGCCATTCATCGAGGATGCGGGTTCTGGTCCCTCGACACCGCCTGAAGACGCGCTGTTCTGGGGCACTTAACCCTATCCGTACGTGGTGTTTTACTATCGTATCCATACGACGTGGGGAACTATGTGCCACCACTTGACAAAATGAGTTGCTTTTCGGATTTGAACCCTTTGCAAATACAAGTGGATACATCACGCTTATAAGTGAAGTTTTTGCCATTTATACGTATGAAATAATTAGAGGGATGTACTTAAAGAATGTGGTATCAACAGACAATCTACAAGTTTGACACTAGTGTCGATTTTTGGCCAATATCTCCATTTGTGGATTGTGAGAAGTAACTCAATTTGTCAGCTCGCCTTACATATACTAGAACTCGTGGGGAACAGGGCAGGGGCTCAGATTGTTTATGTAAATGGTGTCATGCCGGCCATGCCGATGACGGGGGAGAGGGGGGGGGATATCTGACACGCGTGACGTCACTGCCGCAAGCTCTGGTATTATATATAACCTCTTTGGTGGGCACTTTTAAGTAAGTCTCCGCCATTTTACCGTGGTTCGTTTATACATTTATACTCCTAAGCAAAGTAGAAAAAACGGGTTTGGGGATGGGGAGAGGCGATGGGGAGATACAATAATTTAAACTCAGTTGTAACTTGAGTGTTTGCTCAAAGAAGTCACACCAACATTGTAGCAGGGAAATAATACGCTTTAAAAACAAGTAGTGGGAACAAGGTAA